CCCAAAATCCAAGGCTGAGGCAGTGGACAAGTTGGTTTCATCATCTTTATCTTGTAAAAAGGTGCAGTCGGTTTTTTTTCCAGACTTGGGTGACTTCCAAGTATGGTATCAGTTTATCAACAGCTTAATGAATTCCTTCTGACCGTAGTTCTCTACCAAGTGGAACTTTAATGAGGACACTGGGACCTCTAAATCCACCTGTCTCTTTTCCTTTGGATATCTACTATCAAGGGTTTGAGAAAGGATTTACATAATAATTGCTGTAATACAGTTTTCACATTTGATTTTGCTAGCTACCCATGACATGTCCAGTGGTCATTGGTGCAAGTATTCTGTATGATGAAACTGACTCAGAGCAACAATTCTTGTTACTTATGTATCTTCAGAGAACGAAGACCAACCTGGGCCGAGGAAAGAAGACTAAATGCAGAGACATTTGGAATTCCATTGCGTCCAAACCGTGGTCGGGGGGGGTTCAGAGCCAGAGGGGGAAACGGAGGAGCTGGTGGCTTCCGGGGAGGTAGAGGACGTGGAAACACAAGAGGAAACTTCAGTGCTCCTCGGGGTTTTCGTGGTGGATTCAGAGGTGGCCGTGGCGGCAGGGAGTTTGCGGATTTTGAATATAGGGTATGGGAGTTACCAATTTTATTACTTCTAGAAAGTAATTACTTCTGTAGTATTGCTAATTGCAGTGCTTCTTACAGAACTAAAACTGTCTAGACAATTCACTCAGGTTTTTTTCTTTAATTATGGTACCATTATCTCAGTATACCTTATGATTTTCACAAATAAAAAGTATAGTGTGATTATATCAGTTCAATGAAATATAAAACAGAAGATCTGAAATGGTTCTATGAATCTTCCTGCCAGTTATTCCTTTCCTATCCTGCCATTGAGTTAATTGGTTGAGCAGCACAAGAAATGGGCTACAAGTTCATTGTGAAGTTCCCTTTTTATCAAGTCAGACCACTGATCTTTCTCACATCATTAGCTATACTCCCCAGCAATAGCCTTGCAGGGGTTCAGGCAGGGGACTTTCCATCTGTGCCAGGCAATGAATTGGGACTTCTCACACACCAAACATGGGCACTGAAGTACCATCCCTCCTTCGGGTATGGTAGGAGAGGCATGGCTTAATTTCTCTTAAGGGAAGAAATTGTTCTATTCCATTCTTATTTCAGTGTATTTATTATTGTAGGAGCTTATTATAACACATAGTTGGTAAAGTCTAGTAGGTGTAATGAAACTCATTTGTTCATTCTGAAAATTTGTTGACAAGTTTATGATCTGTTCTTAATCATATTGACTTTATACTACCTTGGACCAAAAGTAATGTTAATCTTATATTACTTTTTAGAAAGACAACAAAGTTGCGGCATAATCTACAAAGAATTTGAAAGCAGATGGACTTGTTGATCTTCGTGGTACCGAGAAAGTGTTGGTCTTTGCAAAGAATTATGTTCATTTGCTGTTAAAACTTCACCAGCACTGGGGTTTGTTTTTAGTTTCAAAGGGGTTTGGAGCAGTAACCTTTTTTGAAAATATGGCCATCTTCAAAAACATGAACATTAAATATATTTGAGATAGAAGACTTAAATAATTTCTTACATATAGTTAAAGTATAAAGCAGTACTTCAGTGGAGTTTTAGTATTTTTTTCATTACAGAAAGGATTTTTCTTAACTAAAATTGTATTTGATAATTGCTGCAGGCTGCAAAGACAATTGTATGCAGAAGGCCGTCAGTACTGTGAGTGTGTTGATCCAGTGAAGGTTGTATTTGAAATCCTATAATCTCCCTTTTCAGATAGTTGTACTTTTTGTCAAATAGGGTGCTGGGCAGTAGGAAACTTGGTTTGTCAGTAAAAAAACTTATAAACATAGAAAATCCTGTTTCTTAGGCAAAGGAAGCTTTTTATAGTTGTATAATTCCATGATTATCCCATTGCCAAAGAAACACTAGGGACTTTGTATAGCTGTATAAAAAGCAACTAATTTTTTAAGAATAAACATTTTTAAGTCTACAAAACTGCTGTGTTGAAATGCTAAACACACAAGTTAGTTGTTTGGAGGGTTTCTTTCTAGCTTTTCAGCTTTAAATTTGTTTGTTTTTTATATTTTGACTACCGATAAATATTTGAAATGTTCTTCCATTATTCAGGATTAAAATAATTCTCTTGCAAGAAATCCATTTTCTAGTTTTGGTCCTTCTGTAGGATTGGGCCACATTAAGGGGCTATTTAGATAAACTTTTAACACTTTACGGCACAATTTGTAGGTCATGTTATGATAGTAAGTGAAAAATGAGCCAGTCCCCGAGTTCTGATGTTCCCGTTGATGTGCCTGGAATAAAAATGAAATGTCTCCATGTACCAATTCTTAAAATGTTGACTTTGTTTTGTATTGTTGGCATACTCAATTAAAAGTGATTTCTTAGTGTTTGCAATTGCCAGAGTTTTGATGGACTGTAGCTTGGGAGACATTGACTGTTCATTTTTACCCCAGTATCCCAAGAGTGATTTTGTCTGGAGTAATTGAGGTCAATTCTGAATAACTAGTTATGACTTCTTTTGATATTAAGTTATAATTAGAAACAAATCTTAATAATTTGTATTTTTATGTATATCTGAAAGCCACAAGAATAAAGGGATCCAAAGATTAAAGTATTTTATCTAATTTGCTGAATTTTTGTTCATTTTCCTTCATGTTCAGTAGTGATAAAATGTGGATAAATGCACTGTTAGCAAATGGGAATATTTAAGTGATAGAATCATAATTTTATATTTTTTGTATAGCACTATAAGGAAGTATTTTGTAATTCGTTTCCATTTGGCAACTGTAGAATTAGATACTATTGTTTAGTAATATTCTGCATGTTAACTACAATGCCTTTTTGGAATCCACAAATCATGATACTGAGGAGTTTTGAGGGGGTTTTTAGACAAAAGGCGAGTGCTGTATTGTTGCAATAACTGTATATTGTATAAGGTGTCCCAAATTTATTTAAACCAGATCAATTGTAAATACCAATGAGACATGTTATGAAGGTATGATTTGGTTTCAATTTACCCACCAATTATTTGGGTTTACTATTTGGGGTGTAATGTACCCTAATAAACAGCAGCATGACATACCTTCAGTGTACCTTGCTACAGAAAAGTGGGGCTTCTATTTTAAGCCAGAATAAAACCATTCAATAAGAAAAATATCTCTGTGAAATTTCTTTCTAGCTCATCCATGTTTCAAACTTACATATTTGGACCACTTCTTTTGGCTCACTTAAGACTGCTGTTTGGTAATGTGTTTATCAATTAAACCTGCAATCTCACAGCTTTGGGTGAAAACATCCTTAGATTTTTATTTTATTTTTTTAAACTGGGCTAAATTTAAAATTTTTATCAGTTGGTAATTTTCTCACATTACATCTTGGTCCATGTTCTTGCATTATCATTCAATATCAAAATCCAGAGACACATAATAGATTTATTTTACCAGGACCATCTATTAATCCCTAATGAAGCCAAAAATAGATAACCACATTTGATATCCAGCAAAATCAAGATTTCTAATGTCTGGTTTTGAAAAGCTGTGACTCAGCCACCCAAAAAGCAAGAGTGTTAATCTCTCACTCCTTGGATATTGGTTTTGCACATTTACTCAGAAGTATGTCCAAAAGCAATTGTGGAGTGCATGATCAAAGATTGAACGACATCTTTAGACTGTAGGACGGCAGATCTTGTTTAATTACCAATGCTTAGGAAAGATTTTAATCTTAGAATGGGAGATGATTTAAATCCGTTTCTTAAGCCTGCGCCCACCAGGAGCAAAAGCGTTCGCACTTGGCCTTTTTGTCACTCCTGGGTTTACCTCTAAGGACTACGCGAAAGAACGAGGGTTAGGGCTGTCCAAGGGGATGCCCCGCGACTAGGGTTCCACCACGCTACTTGCCTTTATTAAGGGCGGCGTTAGTGGACAGGCGGAATACTTGCAGCGGCAACACCAAGGGGAGAACTGCGCTGGATGAGACCCGGGGCCCGGCAGGCGCAGGG